AAAACAGGCGGCACGCTAGAATTAGTCACGGACGCTTAATGGTTGTTTAAGATTGTTTACTTACACCGAAGATGGTCGCGGTGCAGGCAGGAAAACTTGCTTGAGTTGCAGTTACAGATAGAAAAGAAGAGAGGCGGACTAGAGTTCCTTCCCGTGAACATTCTTCTAGCCCATCCGGTTGGAGGCTCTAAACCGCGAGCCCGTCACGCCAACCGAAGAAAGTATTCGAAGTGAAGAGCTCTGAATAGACTCACACGAAGTTTGCTAGGCTCCGTGGAACGAAAGCGCGCAGGGAAGGGTACGTCGAGGGATTAGGCGGCAACGGGGAGAGGCTCTTAGTAGTTGATCAGGCTACCAGTCGGTCCGAGATTTACGTAGAAGTCCACGAGGTAATCATGGACTCCTTGCCGGAATTCTCTCGGATTTCTCCCACAATTCTCAGAATCGGGGTTCTCAGGATCCTCCTGAGATTCTCGGAGATCTCCGACTTGGGCGGAAACCCCCCCTTGTGACATCCCCCCTTGCTGAAGGCATAGCTAAATTAGACCGCACACTCATCACTCGAGTGATTAAGAGCTCTTACTATGGGTTGCTGAACTAAACGAATAAATACAAAATTTGCTAACATAAGAAGTTCGTCCTTTAGGGATCGAATTAAATAATAACCAACACAAATACATATACACATGATCAGATTCATAATGAAAAACTGCACGATCAGGGCTTCAGTGGGCGTCATGGCGAAGTCGCGTGTCAGGCCCCCACTTCTTTCGATGATGTTATCCTTCTTGGGGCTTCTCTTCACCACGCACTCTGAGTTCTGGATCTGTAAACAAAACTCTCAAAAAAAAAAAAAATAAGTTAACATATCTCAACATATTTACAAAATTTACATGGAACTATACTATCATTTCTAAAACATATAATACAGGTGTTTGCTACTTTGAACTACCCTCTCTTGCACACTCAACTAGATGAAATCGTTGAGGAGCCGTTGTCTAACTCTTCTAGATAACGGAAACCTAACTCATAGGCCAGTTGCCATTGGCCTGCGTCCCCTAAAATCCGAAGTTGCCGCTTATTGAGTCCAGAACGCTGCAGGAAAAATCCAAACATGTATCGCTCTTCTGGTGTTCTCTGTGGCAATGATGGAAGATCGGATTCACGATGTCTTGTGCCTTGAATCTCGGTCGGGTGTCGACGGTCCCGATCAATAGATAATCTTGGCTCCATCAGGATACGCAGTCGTGACAACTGACGAAGGAGATTGCTTACGGGTTGGTTCACCATTGGGTTGAGCAGAATCCAGAGGACGACGATGTTCTTTTGCCCATAAACCTCAAGACAACTATCTAGACTGTGAACAGTTACTGGAACGGTTCCAGGGTCTCGTAGATGACAGTGAGGCCATGGTCTTATTCGCTGGAGTGATGTCAGTC